ATAAGTGTGTGCTACACCGCATGCTGCGTCAGCTGCAGTCTCATGTGTTAGCTATTCAGTTCAGATGTCTTTCCTGGAAGCTCTTGCAGTGAACAATTCCGAGCACTTATGATGGTGCTACCTGTCCGTGGAATGTTTGGCTACGGTCCTAATTAGAATGTTGCTGAGCTAATACGTCAGTCCCAAACCCTAAACAGTAGCTTCAGATCGCTGGCATTTCCAGTGATTAGAGACTGAGATGGATGCCTCAGTATTTAAGCCCTTAATTGAAACCTTTCACCCCCAATAAGGAAATTGGTTCCCCCAGTGCGCCAGGTTTTTGAGGCCAAGAGGAGAGGCCTTCATCTTGGCAATCCCCCACATACAGGGATATGTAGGGTTTGAAACGGATTTAGGGGTTAGGCCATGATTCACCGCATGTTCATTGTCCAGAGCTTTGCGGTTTGCTGTGGTTATCAGCCGTCGTCCCCGTCCCAGCAGTTGTGTTTGTTATTTCTATTGCGCGGGTTTTCAGGTGACGATACAGCAGCATACAGCATGCCCTAGGGCTCCAGTTACCTGAATAGTAGGTTACTGGGCTATGTAACTATAGGGAACATAGAACCCAGTTCCCATTATTTAGGTAACTGAAGCCCTAGGGATGGATTACGTGAGCGCTGGTTTTCGGCTTCTGCCGCCTTGCGGTCAGGCAGTTGTCAAGATCGCATACTTCGGGTCATCCTTGGCAATAACTGTCGTCAAAAAGGTTTTAATGAAAAGTTACTATAACTCATTACTTCTTAATAGCCGATACTACAATTGAGAACGTCTTAAAACATACCATCCGTCGTTTTGTTTACAGGACTTAAGGAGTAGGATGTACGCCCCAAAGGGAACGGTACAAATCTTGCGAGGTGCGCTTCTTCCTTTGACGATCATGAAAACAACTTGTCGTAAGAGTTTGAGTCCTTGCGTGACTTACCCAGAAGGAAGCCATGGCCCTGCAAATGAGTGCTTCCTTACACACCGCTGGCCTGGTGTGGGGCATGCCTGGGGTGAGAGCTTGCTCTGGAGCACCCTTTTTGGCCACCGCGCAGAAAGGGCCAATGCGCATGACAGCGGAGCACATGCGCTAACGCGTCCGCTGGGGGTGCTCTTCCGCTGCAGGGAGCCTTCATTTCTTGCCCGCGGACCGGTGCTGGAGGGGAGGCCAAATAAGTGTGTGCTACACCGCATGCTACGTCAGCTGCAGTCTCATGTGTTAGCTATTCAGTTCAGATGTCTTTCCTGGAAGCTCTTGCAATGAAAGACGCCGCACACTTACGGCGGCACTACATGTATGTGGAATTTCTGGCTAGGGTCCAAATATTTGTTTTCTGAGCGAATGTTTCAATGACTCCTGGAGTCATAGACCATCTTTTGCAACCCCATACTGTAAGCCCTAAACAGTAGCTTCAAATTGGTGGGATTTCCACTGATTAGAGACTGAGATGGGTGCTGCAGTATTTATGTTCCATTTCTTCCCAAAAGGCCCTTAGTTGAACCCCCTCGTCCCCTAATTACGCATAGATTCTCACGATGCTATGACAGACACATAGCGCTGGGAACATGTGTTAGCAAGGGTGGGGTTCGAGATAAGGGGAGATTCGTCCGGCTGTATAAACTTTATACCACAACTACTACGGCGCCAAAGTGCGCCGATGAACGCGCCCAGCTTTAGGCCAAAACGGATTACTCCTAAACCCTAAACCCAAAACTGCCCATTTCGGCCTTTTTTCACTTTTGTCCTTTCTGGGCAGGTTCCACGTGAACCACCGTGCGAGAAGCCCCAAAATCTTCCGCAAGAAGAATGGCATTGTGAAGGCTGGCCGGCGGTGGTAAAGGGTGTAGGGTTTATGGTTTCCGCAAATTGGGGGGTGCCTTTTTAGAGGGGCCTTATACTGAAGATTAGAGTTTATTGGGGTCTATGTTGGGGTTCTCGCTATTTCTGGAAACTCCTCTAGAGCGTTGTGTAGGGGTATACTGGAATAATGGAGGATCGAATGGAAAACATGCAAATGACATGGAAACTGGGCTCATATAGCGGCTTATAGTTTGTGTAGTGAGAAACACGTAACAACCTTTCCCACCTTAAATGGTGGTTTACGAAGAAGATTATCCCAATAAGTCGGCTTACTCTCGGGTTCTGACAGCGCTCAGGGGCACCCGTGCGGTCTAGAGGCCCCTAATTTTGACCCCGCCTACCATATCTGCATTTCTCCTGACTATTGCCACAACCCTAAACCCTGAACCCTATTACTACTATTCTTACAATTACGTACTACATTACTACGAGGTTGCAGTAAATCCTAGCTGGAGATGCAAATCTTTGTCTTCTGGTAAGCCTTTCGTTCCATCACAGAATCCCTAGAATAAAGATTGAGGTGATAGTTAGGAGAAGTGTAAACGTAATCCAAGCTGAGGGATTTTGTAAGCCAATTGAAAACTAAGGGACTATTATAGTAGTTTCCACATTCCTTCATTCCCAGCAAGCCAAGGGCCAGGTTTAGGGTCTAGGGTCCAGAATTTGGCAAGCAGTCGGATCCTCATCATGAGATGAGGACAGCTCGCGCGGAGGGACTCCATAGAGTCAGTGGAATGTCCACATGATTTTTGTCACATAATACTACTGGAAGGGGACCACGTTCAGACCGCTTTGGGTTTTTTACTTGGAGGTTCATGGGTTGTTACGAGTGAGGTTACAAGTCCCCTAGATTACGCTAATCATAACCTCAGGTATGACTACCATGAGCCTTCAAGTACATTGGGCCCACGAGAGACTTCAGGATTGAGACGGTAGTTTTCGGAGGAGGCCCTGATGGCACAATGCATGCGGAAGACCCCAATTGTGCGATGAGCTACACATCCCTATGATGCCTGCAAACTCCTTATTCTGTGTCCACGTAGTCCTCTCTCGTCTCTGTACAGTCCTTACACGCTGAAGTCTCAACCCTAAGCCCTAAACTCAAAACCCTTGATCCGCAACGCTAAATCCTATAGTCCCCCTCAAGTAGATAGAATATGGCTTTGGGTATAGTATAATAAGATCCCCATATACCCATGCTCTATCTACATAAGCGAGACTGTAAGCCTTAGGGTCCGTAACGACCTAAGCTCTCCGCCTTATTGCCAGATATGGGGGTTTCCTAAAATGAGGGGTGCCATATTAAGGGTCCCCATAATAAGGATTATAGTGTATTGGGACTATATAGGGGTCCGGTTATTCAGGGAAACTACCATATCTACAGTAAGCCCTGAATCGGCTCGCATGTGAGACTGGCAGGCACGCCAAGACAAGGAGTTGCGCGACAAGCTGCGGGCCGAACAGGAGCCATGACGCGGTTCAGGATTTAGGGTTTAGGCCTTAGGGTTTAGGGTTTAGGGTTTAGGGTTTAGGGTTCAGGGTTCAGGGCTTAGGGTCTTAGGGTTTATTTCTAGGAGGGACAGATACTTTAGAGATTCCGGTGAATATACGAGGGGAATGGAAAAGAACGTGGAGGCTACAGTCTTATTTAGCGTTGGTTTTATGTGCCTAAATAGTTAGACTAGTGGAGAGCCAAATTGACACATGCGATGAAAAACGACGTGGGAAACTGGCAGAATATGTTGGGCATATAGGGGGTTAGGGCCGATAGGTAGGGCAAACCCAACCTATAACCAAGTAGAAGGGGCCCTAGATTCCTTTTGTGGTCCTAGACACCGTATATAACCTAAAGCCCTGAACCCCTATATCGTTTTAGGCGAATGTAAACAGAAAGACCCCATCATGCTCTTGGTAGTGTTTAGACACTAGGGTTTAGGATTTGGGGTTAAGGACTCCCTCAGACATTCCTACGGGTTCCCTCAGTAAGGCTCCCTACGGTTCCATGAGGTCTTAACATGGGACGCGCAGAGTATCTAGGGGTTGGGATGTATGGTTTCGGACTTGGGGTTTAGGATTTGAGGTTCGGGGTTTAGGACTGAGGGTTTAGGGTTGGAGGTTTAAGATTTTAGGTTCAGGGTTTGGGGCTTAGGATTTAGCACGCTAAACCCTAAAGCCTTCCGGGTTTGGGTGTTAGGATTTAGGGCTTAGCGCTTTGGTCTCAGGACTTACTTAACAACGCTTTCGGCTCACCTTCATGGAGTCCTTAGGCATATCACCCGGTTGAGGGTTTAAGGTTTAGGGGTTTAGGGTTTAGGATTTAAGGATTTAGGATTTTAGGGTTCAGGGTTTAGGATTTAGGGTATAGGCTCGCGGACTCGCAGGCAACACGAACTGTAGCTGCAAATGGCATATCACCCAGTGGGTATAATCCCTATACATAAAGGACTGCTAAACCTTCGACGCCCTCCTAAGCCCCCCCTAAACCCTAAACCTTCTACGCCCCCCTAAAGCCCCCCTAAGCCCTAAACCCTAAAACCTGTACGCCCCCTTAGAACCCCCCTTAGCCCCCCTAAACCCTGAACTAGGGGCAGAGCCCGGAGAATTCCTAAGAGCAAATAGTCCTACATAAAACTCGCAACCTAACCTGCTTCCCTAAACCCTAACGTATTGAGACTGGCCACTGTCGTTGCGAAGGTCGTCTAGCGCAAACAACGCAATGAAAGTTGACCAATCGTACATTCTACTATCTCATAGGGATAATTATCAATATCATGGTCCTAGATTCCTTGTATCAGTATGGTATATGGTAGTTCAAGTAGACCCTAAACCCTAAACTTATGATATGAGTAGTTATCCAGGCCCCTGTATTACCCGGAGATGCTGCTGCCCCCTATAAAAGCGTCCTTCCACATCGTAGTTGTGGTAATCCTGGATTCGGGTTTAGGGTTTAAGTGTCTGTTTGTGGTGGTCCAGGGTCATCATAATCTTCAACGTGTGTTCCGCCTCTCATACACCTGTTTATTGTAGATGTGTTGTTCTATCTGCTTAGCACGGCGTCCAACCACATGTACGTCTGCCTGCTTGTCCTCTAAACCCTAAACTAAACCCTAAAACTCAAATCCTAGAACCCTCAACCCTACAATCCTCAACCCTACAGCCCCAAACCCTAAACCCTGAACCCTGAAACCCTTAATCCCAAAAGCCTAAAACCTAAAACCCAAAAATCTAACACCCATGACCCCAAACCCACAACCCGAAAACCCGAAAGCCTAACACCCTAAACCCATAGCCCTAAAACCCGAAAGCCTAAAACCCTAAGCCCTGAGCTGCATATCCCTAAGGGTGCAAGGACGCAAATAATGAGGTTTCAGGGCCCAAGTACTATAATATTAATGGTATTTGGGCTCTGAAACCCTATTCTTTGGGTCCCTGGACCCTTATAATATAGTCCCCATATATCCCTATATACCCCCCTAGAACACTAAACCCTAAAACCTAAAC